CCTCTGCCAAATTTGATTCCTCCAGAATTCCAGGAATTGCCCGGATTCCGCCAGAATCCAGCAGGAATTAGTGGAGGACAATAAAGACCTCTGATAACGGACAACAGCCTGGTCTGCAGTATGCATTTACTCCAGAACTGCAGTTTCTGGGTATTACCTCTCTATCTCGACAACCACAGCTCGTCACGATACGCGAATTATACCGTTGGAAAGGCGTAGTTCGTAGCTTTCGAACGGGTATTTGATCTCCAGGAACGGGCCAGAAATCACTACGCTATGCTCGAACACATTTTTGGCTACCTCAGGATCTCCCCTCTATTTGGGGTGATAAGACTTGATTGGAGGACTCTTATGGGCAGGGGAGACACCTCAACTGGTTGAGAGTTGCTGCTCGTGCATTATGCAGCAGACTCTTCTTCAGTCATGGTAGCCTTCTGGCTCCCTCAGAAGGCTGATTGCTGCTCGCGCATTGCGCAGCGGATCAGTGTTGAGGAGTTGCAGCTTGCACATTACGCAGCAGACTCTTCTTCAATCATGGTAACCTTCTGGGTCCCTCAGAAGTACTGATTGCTGCTCACGTGTTTCGTGAGGTCTTTATTGTCCTCCACTGATTCCTGCCGGATTCCAGCAGAATCCGGGCAATTCCTGGAATTCTGGAGGAATCAAATTTGGCAGAGGGCCCTGCCAAATTGATCAAACTATTCCGTGGAATTTTTAATGGAATTCAAATTCCGCCGGAATGGTTCTGGTGATCACCCAGAAGGAATGCTCACGGAATCAGACGGAACGGAATTCCTGATGCCCAAATCAAACGTCGGCAAACACCGACGTTTGATTTGGGCATCATCAACAAACAACGCCACATCTCTCTCCAACCACCATCATCACCGACGCCTACACCCCACATCGCCAACGTCCACCACCACGCACACCAGCCACAACGATGAGACAACGACGACGGCCACGATGCGGCAAACAATGCCTCAACGCCACATCAACAACCCTAGTAAACAAGCACGGCAACACGTTGCCACGTCGCTGATAGCGACGTGGCAACCAGACGACGAACGACGATTTCGTCGTTCATCGTCCTAGGTGAGCACCCCCCCCCAAACTCATCCCAACCCAGCTCACTAACACCACGCCCACAACGAGGGACGGACAGCATGTCAGCGCCCCACCACGTCAACGGAGGGCCACGCCAACAGACGACGCACACACCACCATGTCAACGGACCGCCACCACATCAACAGACAACACCCACATCAACGGATGACGATGACGACGACGTCAGTGGACAACGAGCACATAAGCGGACGACGACGACGACGACGTCAGCAGACAACGCCCACATCAACGGACGACGACGACGACGTCAGCGGACGACGCCCACGTCAACGGACGATGGTGAGCACGTCAATGAAGACACGAAACACTCCATCCACCCTCCCTCTCTTCCCTCCCTCCCTCCTTCTTCCCTCCCTCCATCCTTATTCCCTCCCTCTGTCCCTCTTCCCTCCCTCCATGCCCCCTCTCTCTCCATTCCTCCCCCTCTTTCCCTCCCTCCCCCCTCTCTCCCTCACTCCCTCCCCTCCATCACTCCCTCCCCTCTCCATCACTCCCCACCACCTCTCCCCATCACTCCCTCTCCCATCACCCCTCTCCCCTTCACCCCTCTCTCCTTCACCCCTCTCCCCCTTCCCTCCATCCCTCCCCCCTCCCTTTAACACTCTATGTAGTAGGATAATTTTGTAGTAGAATAATCTCATGTAGTTCTAGTGAATACACCTGAATTATCCATGTTCAAATTTGAATATCATAAGCAATTCCTAAGTTTAAGTTATCAGCATAGAATAGAATAATAGATTGACTGACTGCATTACACAAGTAATTCACGAGGTCTTGATAAGTGCAGATTAAGTCATATGACATCTAGCTAAAGTGGAATTGTAGGGGGAACTGAGAAGTATAGATTCGTACTGAAATTTCTGTTTATTCCAGTTGGATTCCTGTCAATTCCGGCCGGAATCCATGGAATTCCTGGATTCCGGCCGGAATCTGGTAGGAATCAGTGGAGGAATGGAAAGTATTGTGTTTCGTGGCAGATCAGTGTTGAGGAGTTGCTGCTCGCACATTACGTGGCGGACTCTTCTTCAATCATGGTAACCTTCTGGCTCCTGATTGCAGCTTGCATGTTTTGCGGCAGATCAGTGTTGAGGAGTTGCTGCTCGCACATTACGCAGCAGACTCTTCTTCAATCATGGTAACCTTACAGATTGCTGTGTGTGTGTTGCATGGCCTGTGTCCACTCTGGGGGGCAAGATTTATGACAACATTTTTTTTTCTCCCCCTTTCCTTCAACCTCTTATCATTCCTACCCAACTGGCACCACCTCTACCTACTCTGACACCAACTTAAAATCACGGCTTGTAATTTTCCACTGCATGATCTCTTCGCCTCTATCCTCCCTGGCTTGATTCTTGAGATTCGCACACTGGAAAAGTGGGGGGCTGTATGGGAGTATAGGTGGAAGATGGGAGGAGAGGTGCAAGCCTCTATCCCATTACACACTCCCCACATCCAGACCACACACCACAATGGAAGCAAGCTACATCATCTTGATGGGTAGAGGGAGTTGAGTTGGGATCAACGATCTGAGTGGAGAGTAGGGAATGTCATGGGCTACCCTGGGGTTTTCCAGGGCAACCCGTGCCCATACCCGTCAAAACCCGTACCCATACACATGGGTACGGGTTTTTGTAGCTTCGGGTCAAGGGTTGGGAATAACCTGCAGGTATCAAAACCCGTATGGGATTAAACATTGAATGAGGTCTAACATCAAGAAAAAGCTAGTTAGATAGCATCCCAGTCATCACTCAAGATCTCCTCCTCATCCGAGCCCACTTCAGGTAACACAGTGGCTGCCTTCACATCCTTGTCCTTCACATACCCCATCTTGCTCCAGACTCCGAGACATAACAAGGCCCATGTTGATTGAACAGAAAGTCGGTTGCGTAGTGTGAGAGGAGAAGTCGGCCCTGGCTGAATGTACGTTCAACGTCCACTGATGTTGCTAGCAGTAGTTTATGGTCAAAATATATCCAGTAATGAGATAATACAACTTACCTGGGATCGATAAGTAATCTAACGCCATCTGATGAAGACGAGGATAGGCGCCTCTGTTCTTCCACCACCAGGCTAGGGCATCGGTGACGTGCTTGGGGTCAGTGCTCAGAAACTTATCCAATTCACCATGCAACTCTGCTGGTTTGGGTGCTTGGAGGGAAGGTAGGTTATCGAAGATGTTTTTAGACTTGGACGATGCAACCTATAGTAAATGGTAGACTTTATAAGGATGACAATGTCAAAACACGTACCTTCAATTTAGGAAGTCGAGTCTCTGCCAAGGTGGCCTCTATGGATCCATATGATAGGTCGAATTCCGTATGTACAATTTCCTCTGCTCTGTCGATCCACTCGTCCTGCCATCCTGCATTTTTGAAGTATTGAAGCTTGTGACGAGGGTGTAATACTAGCCATGGGTAAGAAGGAGAAAACAAGAGAGTAATAAGATATGTACCCATCGTGATCCTAAACACCTCA